AGCGGCGGGCGCGCGGGGGGGAGACTCAGACTCAAGCAGCGGGGCGTGTGGAGGGGCCCAAAGCGGCGGGCGCGCGGGGGGGAGACTCAGACTCAAGCAGCGGGGCGTGTGGAGGGGCCCAAAGCGGCGGGCGCGCGGGGGGGAGACTCAGACTCAAGCAGCGGGGCGTGTGGAGGGGCCCAAAGCGGCGGGCGCGCGGGGGGGAGACTCAGACTCAAGCAGCGGGGCGTGTGGAGGGGCCCAAAGCGGCGGGCGCGCGGGGGGGAGACTCAGACTCAAGCAGCGGGGCGTGTGGAGGGGCCCAAAGCGGCGGGCGCGCGGGGGGGAGACTCAGACTCAAGCAGCGGGGCGTGTGGAGGGGCCCAAAGCGGCGGGCGCGCGGGGGGGAGACTCAGACTCAAGCAGCGGGGCGTGTGGAGGGGCCCGAGGCGGCGGGCGCGCGGAGGGGAGACTCAGACTCAAGCAGCGGGGCGTGTGGAGGGGCCCGAGGCGGCGGGCGCGCGGAGGGGAGACTCAGACTCAAGCAGCGGGGCGTGTGGAGGGGCCCAAAGCGGCGGGCGCGCGGGGGGGAGACTCAGACTCAAGCAGCGGGGCGTGTGGAGGGGCCCAAAGCGGCGGGCGCGCGGGGGGGAGACTCAGACTCAAGCAGCGGGGCGTGTGGAGGGGCCCAAAGCGGCGGGCGCGCGGGGGGGAGACTCAGACTCAAGCAGCGGGGCGTGTGGAGGGGCCCAAAGCGGCGGGCGCGCGGGGGGGAGACTCAGACTCAAGCAGCGGGGCGTGTGGAGGGGCCCAAAGCGGCGGGCGCGCGGGGGGGAGACTCAGACTCAAGCAGCGGGGCGTGTGGAGGGGCCCAAAGCGGCGGGCGCGCGGGGGGGAGACTCAGACTCAAGCAGCGGGGCGTGTGGAGGGGCCCAAAGCGGCGGGCGCGCGGGGGGGAGACTCAGACTCAAGCAGCGGGGCGTGTGGAGGGGCCCAAAGCGGCGGGCGCGCGGGGGGGAGACTCAGACTCAAGCAGCGGGGCGTGTGGAGGGGCCCAAAGCGGCGGGCGCGCGGGGGGGAGACTCAGACTCAAGCAGCGGGGCGTGTGGAGGGGCCCAAAGCGGCGGGCGCGCGGGGGGGAGACTCAGACTCAAGCAGCGGGGCGTGTGGAGGGGCCCAAAGCGGCGGGCGCGCGGGGGGGAGACTCAGACTCAAGCAGCGGGGCGTGTGGAGGGGCCCAAAGCGGCGGGCGCGCGGGGGGGAGACTCAGACTCAAGCAGCGGGGCGTGTGGAGGGGCCCAAAGCGGCGGGCGCGCGGGGGGGAGACTCAGACTCAAGCAGCGGGGCGTGTGGAGGGGCCCAAAGCGGCGGGCGCGCGGGGGGGAGACTCAGACTCAAGCAGCGGGGCGTGTGGAGGGGCCCAAAGCGGCGGGCGCGCGGGGGGGAGACTCAGACTCAAGCAGCGGGGCGTGTGGAGGGGCCCAAAGCGGCGGGCGCGCGGGGGGGAGACTCAGACTCAAGCAGCGGGGCGTGTGGAGGGGCCCAAAGCGGCGGGCGCGCGGGGGGGAGACTCAGACTCAAGCAGCGGGGCGTGTGGAGGGGCCCAAAGCGGCGGGCGCGCGGGGGGGAGACTCAGACTCAAGCAGCGGGGCGTGTGGAGGGGCCCAAAGCGGCGGGCGCGCGGGGGGGAGACTCAGACTCAAGCAGCGGGGCGTGTGGAGGGGCCCAAAGCGGCGGGCGCGCGGGGGGGAGACTCAGACTCAAGCAGCGGGGCGTGTGGAGGGGCCCAAAGCGGCGGGCGCGCGGGGGGGAGACTCAGACTCAAGCAGCGGGGCGTGTGGAGGGGCCCAAAGCGGCGGGCGCGCGGGGGGGAGACTCAGACTCAAGCAGCGGGGCGTGTGGAGGGGCCCAAAGCGGCGGGCGCGCGGGGGGGAGACTCAGACTCAAGCAGCGGGGCGTGTGGAGGGGCCCAAAGCGGCGGGCGCGCGGGGGGGAGACTCAGACTCAAGCAGCGGGGCGTGTGGAGGGGCCCAAAGCGGCGGGCGCGCGGGGGGGAGACTCAGACTCAAGCAGCGGGGCGTGTGGAGGGGCCCAAAGCGGCGGGCGCGCGGGGGGGAGACTCAGACTCAAGCAGCGGGGCGTGTGGAGGGGCCCAAAGCGGCGGGCGCGCGGGGGGGAGACTCAGACTCAAGCAGCGGGGCGTGTGGAGGGGCCCAAAGCGGCGGGCGCGCGGGGGGGAGACTCAGACTCAAGCAGCGGGGCGTGTGGAGGGGCCCAAAGCGGCGGGCGCGCGGGGGGGAGACTCAGACTCAAGCAGCGGGGCGTGTGGAGGGGCCCAAAGCGGCGGGCGCGCGGGGGGGAGACTCAGACTCAAGCAGCGGGGCGTGTGGAGGGGCCCAAAGCGGCGGGCGCGCGGGGGGGAGACTCAGACTCAAGCAGCGGGGCGTGTGGAGGGGCCCAAAGCGGCGGGCGCGCGGGGGGGAGACTCAGACTCAAGCAGCGGGGCGTGTGGAGGGGCCCAAAGCGGCGGGCGCGCGGGGGGGAGACTCAGACTCAAGCAGCGGGGCGTGTGGAGGGGCCCAAAGCGGCGGGCGCGCGGGGGGGAGACTCAGACTCAAGCAGCGGGGCGTGTGGAGGGGCCCAAAGCGGCGGGCGCGCGGGGGGGAGACTCAGACTCAAGCAGCGGGGCGTGTGGAGGGGCCCAAAGCGGCGGGCGCGCGGGGGGGAGACTCAGACTCAAGCAGCGGGGCGTGTGGAGGGGCCCAAAGCGGCGGGCGCGCGGGGGGGAGACTCAGACTCAAGCAGCGGGGCGTGTGGAGGGGCCCAAAGCGGCGGGCGCGCGGGGGGGAGACTCAGACTCAAGCAGCGGGGCGTGTGGAGGGGCCCAAAGCGGCGGGCGCGCGGGGGGGAGACTCAGACTCAAGCAGCGGGGCGTGTGGAGGGGCCCAAAGCGGCGGGCGCGCGGGGGGGAGACTCAGACTCAAGCAGCGGGGCGTGTGGAGGGGCCCAAAGCGGCGGGCGCGCGGGGGGGAGACTCAGACTCAAGCAGCGGGGCGTGTGGAGGGGCCCAAAGCGGCGGGCGCGCGGGGGGGAGACTCAGACTCAAGCAGCGGGGCGTGTGGAGGGGCCCAAAGCGGCGGGCGCGCGGGGGGGAGACTCAGACTCAAGCAGCGGGGCGTGTGGAGGGGCCCAAAGCGGCGGGCGCGCGGGGGGGAGACTCAGACTCAAGCAGCGGGGCGTGTGGAGGGGCCCAAAGCGGCGGGCGCGCGGGGGGGAGACTCAGACTCAAGCAGCGGGGCGTGTGGAGGGGCCCAAAGCGGCGGGCGCGCGGGGGGGAGACTCAGACTCAAGCAGCGGGGCGTGTGGAGGGGCCCAAAGCGGCGGGCGCGCGGGGGGGAGACTCAGACTCAAGCAGCGGGGCGTGTGGAGGGGCCCAAAGCGGCGGGCGCGCGGGGGGGAGACTCAGACTCAAGCAGCGGGGCGTGTGGAGGGGCCCAAAGCGGCGGGCGCGCGGGGGGGAGACTCAGACTCAAGCAGCGGGGCGTGTGGAGGGGCCCAAAGCGGCGGGCGCGCGGGGGGGAGACTCAGACTCAAGCAGCGGGGCGTGTGGAGGGGCCCAAAGCGGCGGGCGCGCGGGGGGGAGACTCAGACTCAAGCAGCGGGGCGTGTGGAGGGGCCCAAAGCGGCGGGCGCGCGGGGGGGAGACTCAGACTCAAGCAGCGGGGCGTGTGGAGGGGCCCAAAGCGGCGGGCGCGCGGGGGGGAGACTCAGACTCAAGCAGCGGGGCGTGTGGAGGGGCCCAAAGCGGCGGGCGCGCGGGGGGGAGACTCAGACTCAAGCAGCGGGGCGTGTGGAGGGGCCCAAAGCGGCGGGCGCGCGGGGGGGAGACTCAGACTCAAGCAGCGGGGCGTGTGGAGGGGCCCAAAGCGGCGGGCGCGCGGGGGGGAGACTCAGACTCAAGCAGCGGGGCGTGTGGAGGGGCCCAAAGCGGCGGGCGCGCGGGGGGGAGACTCAGACTCAAGCAGCGGGGCGTGTGGAGGGGCCCAAAGCGGCGGGCGCGCGGGGGGGAGACTCAGACTCAAGCAGCGGGGCGTGTGGAGGGGCCCAAAGCGGCGGGCGCGCGGGGGGGAGACTCAGACTCAAGCAGCGGGGCGTGTGGAGGGGCCCAAAGCGGCGGGCGCGCGGGGGGGAGACTCAGACTCAAGCAGCGGGGCGTGTGGAGGGGCCCAAAGCGGCGGGCGCGCGGGGGGGAGACTCAGACTCAAGCAGCGGGGCGTGTGGAGGGGCCCAAAGCGGCGGGCGCGCGGGGGGGAGACTCAGACTCAAGCAGCGGGGCGTGTGGAGGGGCCCAAAGCGGCGGGCGCGCGGGGGGGAGACTCAGACTCAAGCAGCGGGGCGTGTGGAGGGGCCCAAAGCGGCGGGCGCGCGGGGGGGAGACTCAGACTCAAGCAGCGGGGCGTGTGGAGGGGCCCAAAGCGGCGGGCGCGCGGGGGGGAGACTCAGACTCAAGCAGCGGGGCGTGTGGAGGGGCCCAAAGCGGCGGGCGCGCGGGGGGGAGACTCAGACTCAAGCAGCGGGGCGTGTGGAGGGGCCCAAAGCGGCGGGCGCGCGGGGGGGAGACCCCCCTCCAAGGGGGGGTCTCCTGAGCATCTCCCCAGGCACGTGGGTGGGGCCTGTGGGGCAATGCAGCCACTGCGGGACGGGAGCCCTTCTCCTGGGCACACCGCTTTGCACGGCCGACTGACAGCCTGACCCTGGGGTGGCCACGACTTGGGAAGAGTGCGGGGGCCAGCCTGAGCCTGGTCCTGCTCAGCATGGGAGCCAAGGGCACGGGGCTGTCTCCCCCAGGGGCCAGTGGCCGGGCAGCGGAGGCACTGTCCTCCCCTCGGGCTGGCCCCAGTGCTGCGGAGAGGGGGGGGTCTGGTCCCACGAGGAGCCGGGGGGGGGCTCTGCCATGCAGTTGCTGGCTGTTGCCCCCCATACTGGGTTCCCCGTTGATTTGCCGGCCTTTCCCTTGGCTGATGCCCAGGCTGCTCTGGGCAGAGCTGGTGACCTTCGGTCAGTTCCTGCGGGCTGGGAAGGACACGGGCCTGCAGCCTCCCCCAGCCGGGAGTCGTTTGGCACTTCCTAGTGCCACGGCCGGCGAGCGCGGAGCTGTGATCGATGGGACCCCTTGTTCTTTAATTAGTCGCTTCATCCTGGTGACACGGGCTCCTTCGCACCCGGGTAATTAGATTTGTGTTCATCGATTCTCTGGGTGGCTGTTACCAGGGAGAACTGACCGGGTGCTGCTTCCCGTTGCCGCGCCGCGGCCGCGCCGAGGGGCCCTAGTGCCACGGCCGGCGAGCGCGGAGCTGTGATCGATGGGACCCCTTGTTCTTTAATTAGTCGCTTCATCCTGGTGACACGGGCTCCTTCGCACCCGGGTAATTAGATTTGTGTTCATCGATTCTCTGGGTGGCTGTTACCAGGGAGAACTGACCGGGTGCTGCTTCCCGTTGCCGCGCCGCGGCCGCGCCGAGGGGCTGGGCCCCCCCCAGCAGCCGTGCGCAAGCCGCGTGCTGGCTCTGTCCCCCGCCAGGGCCCGTGCATGGGCTGAGAGAGGCTCTGTGTCCCGTGTGCCGGCAGAGCTGGGGGCAGGGCAGCTCACGTCTCTCTCCCTGGCCCTAGTTCCCATCGACGCCACGCGGGGCGTGAAGATGCTCTATGTGTTCGTGGACATCAAGATCGACACGGCCCACTTTGTGGAAACTGTCCAGTTCAACTTCCCCAAGGGCGCCTGCCTGGCCCTCGTCAGCACCATCCAGTTCGTCTCTGCTCTGCAGGTGAGGCGGGCACGGGGCTGTCAGTAGGGAGCCCACGTTGGAGCATCCTCGCTGGTACCTGCGGGGCAAACTCGGTGCTCCCAGGGTTAACAGGTCGAGTGACTGTAAGGAGCACAGCTGGGACTGTGTACGGCCCATAACTGACAGCTCACTCGCACCCGCCTCTCCTGGGCAAGCGCACGTCGGCCAGGGCCCCTCCACCTGCATGTTGCAGTGTCCTGGGGCGAGGGGTGCATCCCCTCCCAGGCCTCTGGGCACAGTGTCAGGATGAAAGCAGGGGAGGGGAAGAGCTTGCTTTTCTCGGACCACTGCACCCTGAAGGGCCCTAAGATGGCGCAGGGTGTGCGGAGACCCAGCACGCCCTTCCTGCTGGCTTTCAGCCCCCGCCGGGTTTAGCTGTGGAACACAGCATGTGCCCAGGCAGGGGAGGGGGCCTGTGTGTGTGTGTGTGTGTTTGTGTTCGGGGAGGTGCGGGGCAGGGTGCACAGCTCTGGGGAGGGAGGTGACGGGCACGGTGCACAGCTCTGGGGGGGGGGAGGTGCCGGGCAGGGTGCACAGCTCTGGAGGGGAGGTGCCGGGCACGGTGCACAGCTCTGTTGGGGTGGGAGGTGCCGGGCAGGGTGCACAGCTCTGGGGGGGGGAGGTGCCGGGCAGGGGGCACGGTCCTGGAGGGGGGGGGGCGGG